TTTTGGACTTAATACTGTATTAAAAACGCTCTCCCATGTATATGAATTGATCTTTTCTTCTCTAAAATGAAACCACAACCCTTCACATTGATTCTTTTTTTTTCTGTGGTTCTACACACAATGTTATTGTATAGCGCAATAAAGGCTAATACTATTTTAAACCTCTTTGTTAATAGAATAAAGCGAATGGATTTTCCAAAGTATGGAACGCTATTAATGTTAAACAGTGTCAAGTTAACCTTACTTTCATTATTTTAGGCAAGCATTTTTTGTACTTTTACATCATCAATAGCATCGGTATTATGATTAGTCAGTCATAAACACTCAGTCATAATCACTAACTAAAACACTATCCCGACACGATGGCGTGCGTTTTGATACTTGGAGTATGTATTATACTGTCTTAAAAACATTATTGACTTCCAGTTTTCATTATCGATCTTACTCACTATTTTATTAGTAGTATGCATACATGTAGTGGGGCGTCGAACAACATATTTATAACACATACACAATTCAGTTACTGTGAAAAGTAAGTCATATAACCAACCTACTATAACCTAACAAGTTCTGTCTCGTGGTCTAAAACAATGTTATTTATAATAATAATAATAATAATAATAATAATAATAATAATAATAATAATAATAATATAATAATAATGATAATGTAATAATAATAATAATAATAAAGTATTATTACAATGGACATTGAGCAGTTATTAAGTTAATTATTTAATGATGATCTTTGACTATGTTATTCAGTTTAATCTAAAATTAAACAGATACAGACACAGATTTTTTTTTTTGTTTTCCAAACAAACCATAAGCAATTAAATGACGTTCAATTTCTACTAATATTTCCATATGAACATTTCTGACCCATTTCTGAATAAAATATTCAATTGAACGAAACATAATATAGTTGCACAGTGTTCTTTGTCTTGTATATATTATTTTTTAAATATAAATAAATGTCGGTATTGTATTAGTCACCCCTGCTTAATTTGACTGCGCTTTGTATCTGAAAAGAAATGTACTATGTAAATACAGGGAGAAAAACTACCAAAAACAAAACGATATGTTGACAGACATATTTATTAAATTGACTGAGAAAATAATAAAAATACAATGCAGAAAATAAGCAGTGAAGCATAATATAATACAAATTAATACCTATAATATTAAAAAAGTAATGTCCCATGCAAAATACCAACAAAATTTAAAAAAAATCCTAAAAATCGGGGTTTTTTGTATTAAATTGCTCATTTTTAAGTAATATCTAAATTATCAACATCCATCTTTTGCATCGCTGCTCACTTTATTCTGCTTATATTTTTTAAATTTTTTTATATATATATATTTTTTTCTCTCTTCTATTTTTTTTTTCCAAAAACACGCATAGAAACAATTTCGCCGACGCAGCAGCAACAAAACTTTAAACTTGTTCATCAAGTAGAAGTAAAGTTATGATACATTATCTTAATTTTGGCTGCCATTTTAAAAATGGCCGCCAAAAAACATGTTTCTGGAGGCTTACGCCCGCTCATTTTTTTTAATTTATACCCTAGTGATGCCAAAGCAGCAGAGAAATTTTGGTCCCCGAAAAATGGTGTCACGGAAGCCCTGTTTTTCAGTATACTATATATATAATTGACACAAAATCGTGGTTATAATAAATAATAACAATACTGATGATAATGATAATATTATTAATTGTTACAAAAGTATAATATTATTTATAACAATAATCACAAAGATAAAAATAATCAATTAAGCAGATTTTAAACACTAAAATATTTTAACGAAGATATGTTTGTAAGTACATAATAATGTACTCGCACATAATGTGCAGATCAATGCTGCGGGGTGACACACACATTTTTATTAGGCCTTATGGTGTTAAGTGCTTCGAGGTTGCTACCATAGGCGCTTTATAAATATTGATTATTATTTTTTATAGAAATTAATGTATTTAAAAAAATTGTTTACCCATAATTTTACAAGCAAAAAATAATAGAAACACTTCCAGTCATAATAATCAGGGTACACTTTTTAAAATTCAATAATTTCTATGCTCAAGTTAATAATTTAAATGCCACTGCAAAATGAGCAAGTTAATATTAAAATGACTGTTTAATCTCAATTACTGGTGATTTAACCGTATACTTAAAGTAGTAAGTTCTTAAGAATGAGTACAACATCCAAAAGATAATAGCATTTAGGTGATTGTAATAGGTCCGTGTATATATGACAATGTTTATTTAATGTAGTTATATAGCTAAAACATAGCACTTAAAGTATTAAGTTCAACTCAATTCAATTTATTACGAAAAAAACATACAAGCAAAATGCAAAAACACAAACCAAACTAAAATGTCAAAAATGCTCTGGCCCGAGGGATTCCATCAGTGAACCTAATCACTTTCCAAGGGAAAAGAAATTAAATATAATTGTTTTTATTTTGAATACAACATCCAAAAGATAATAAAATGCAGGTGACTATAGGTCCAAGCATGAATATTTTTTACTTAGCGTAGTTTATATAATAATACTATGTTATACTTATTATGGCGCTTAATGCACTTAATAGCATTTAAAGAAGTTCTTAAAAAATTAAATATATTTGTTTTTATTGTAAATAAAAATTATAAAATTCAGGTAATTATCATAAGTCCAATTATGAATTACATTATTTAACTTAGCTTAGTTATATAGCTAAAAACGATGAATTTTTACAGTCTACAATCCTATTCTTATTTTAAATTTTGTGTAATAATACTGTTATAGGGTTATAATATTGTTACATACGTGTATCAAACAATGTACGGTTACTATATTTATATCATGAACGGAACAGCTACTGTTAATATGCTCAAGATCAAAATAGCCAGTAATCTACTACAGAAATGCACGTCAGACCTCTAGTATTAGAAATTATAAACAATACAGTCAACCATTGTCCTCTAAAAGCGTATCTGAAAGGAATTTAAAAAAGACAAATTGTAATTCCATCAATCAATCAATTAATCAATTATTTAGATTATGAATAACGATAAGCCAATAAATAATCAATTAATCAATCACCCAACCAACTGATCTATCGATCAATCAATCAAAATGTTGATTGATATAGTATTTAGTTTTATCAAGTTTGGAGGGTAATTTTCGATCCATTGATATTGATAATAAATTTGTTCAAAATGATATTATATATAAACAAATAAAAAATGCTCGAATAGGAACATGAATATTATATGATGACAATGATGATGTTGGTGATGATGATGATGATGTTAATAATAATATCTATGATAATGATTATAGATTATATAAGCATTTATCAGAGAGTATATATTTTAAATATATAATTAACATATATACCATATAGGCAAATGTGCTAAAAAAAATAATATACTATCACAAAATTACAGATAGAATATTACCTGCATCACGGGTATAACTTCTAGGAAATCGACTGAAATAAAAGTTTAGATACATTTTGATTAATTGAATGGTCAATTGGCTGATTGCTTGAGTGATTTGATTGATTAGTGGAATGTATTGAATGTATGCATTAATTGATAATTTTATTGACTGATTGATAACATGACTTTCACATTGATTGTTCATTGTCGAATAGTTCGTTCGTTCTTGTTTGTATAATGTAACGCTTTGTCTACACTATCAAATCGTATGGGATAAATTTGTGTGGGCATGATGATGCCATATTACATCCAAATATGGGCATAGCACATTTTATCTGTCACATAAAATTTGATAGTTTGGCCAGACCTTCAATATTGAAGTATAGTTCATACAGTTTTAAGTTCATGTCTTACCTGAATACCACTGTCTGGACTGTTCCGTCCCATGAATATATTCAAGTTAACAATTGATCAGGAATATATTCAAATATAATTAATCAAGTTATACATATCAGTCTAATTAAACAGTTTATTATATTCGTACTTACGGATACGTCAATGATTTATTGATTGATATGCACTTGGAATTTTGATTCCTTAAATAATTCAATATAAATGTAATGAGAGTAGCATATTAAGTATACAATTGTTCATTATTTCGAAATATAAAATATATAAAATTACAAACATAGATAACACTGGTCACGTTTTGCAAAAATCAATGCTGGGCAAACCAGATTAAATGATGACAGTGATTTTGATGATGGTAATGATGATGATGATGATGATGATGCTGACGGCGATGATGATGATAATGATGATGTTGGTGGTGATGATGATGATTATTCGTTAACGTTATGTTGTGTTATGTATATATAT